TAAACATTTCACCTAACTACGAACTAGTTGGAAGAATTATAGCTGCATGGATGCCTGTATATGATTTTAACAAACACTGAAAATCTGACGCAAAAACTGGCAGATATTTTGCTCTTCTCTGTTGGAACAACGCAAGCGGGAGGTCAATGACCTGCGCCCCGCGAGTACTGTAAACAACGGTACGTAATGTGTATCGTCGGCGCACGCGCGCGCGCCACGGTATCAACAATTTTCCACAATCTTCACCGACTAGTATTATATATTCTGTTATCGATTTCTGAAGAATCACCAAAATTGTAGAGTGTACAGGCGTTCATTTGTTGTTGCTGAGAACATCGCAAGACGGCTTCCTGGCAAATTTTCCTAAAGCGAGCGTTGAGGGCTTGCATGCCCGACAGTTTTCAAAGATAGTCCAGATAGCTCGGTTGGTAACGCGCAGGGCTGCAAGTCCAGACATTGCGAGTTCGAACCCCGGTACACCGGATATTTTTAATTACCCTTTTTACAATTTTTAACAATTTTAACATTTTTAACAATTTCAACAATTTTAACCATTTTACATTTTAACAACTTCAACATTTAATTTTAACATTTTCGTTTTAATATCCATTGCTTTGCTTTTAACATTCCAAAACTGATTGTTCTTACTCAAGAATTTCAATAACTTCGAATGTTAGTCTTTTTGTATTTTTTCAACATACAAACCAAAATCACTTTGATGTTGTCACAAAAGTAACATCTGTGCGCGCATCGGTTTTCGTTCATTTAAAAACTTCAAGTACAAACATCTGGAAACTAAGCAAACATACTCAGTAAATTGATTGCTGTAATTCCCGATTTTTTTTCACTGTACCGCAACGCAAGCGGGGGGTTAATGTTTACGGTTTTCACTGTCACCTCTGTATTGTGAACTTATCATTACAGTTAGGAAATAATTCCTGGACTTTCTTTTTCCTGCAACTGTCACCACCGTGAATATATAGTTCCGTGAACATGTCCATTTTTCTCATGTTCCATGAAAATTTTGCTTCCGTTAGTAGTAGTTACAATCTCGTCAAAAGTGTAAAGTAAAGCTGTCGAGATTTAAAGTGCGTGTCGTTGTATCTTTGTAAAAAAAAGGGAGATAATTGCCAAGTGCCAGTTTTGTAAATACCTGTCGAGATTCAAACAGCTTGTCCTTGTATAATTGCAGTATGGTTTATTTAGAATCTCTCATTTTTGTTTGGGGAAGGGTATGGAGTGAAATTCCTACATTTGCTCCGAAGCAAATGTTGGCCTTTCTAGTTTACATTGTGATTTTATCGAAAAGATTCAATTACGACATAGATTTCTACCCCGTATGAAATGGGGAAAGCATTAATGCGTTACCACACCTGTCATTGCCGTGTCAGGATGAGTGTTGTTCACGCGAAGTGTCCACACACCAAGCGGGTTCTCCCCCCAGTGGTGAAGGGTTAAGAACGTCCAGTCCAGGTCAGGCTCCGCGTCCTGGACCCTTCCCGGAGCCACTGTCGACGTTGTCCCCGAAGGAGACGTGAGCTCGATGACGAGGTATCCGCGGTGAGGGAAGGTCAGCGTCACATGGACCAGGACGTGCTCCAGGTAATGAACCTGGTCTGGTGCACAGATTCTAGGATTCACGTCAACAGTTGACTCCAGTGTCCCTCCGCCTGGGATGGTCCTAGTTTAAAACAAAAGGAACCAATAGCTGCATCTAGCATCGAAGTATCATCACACAAAGCTCTGACGACTAAGAAACAGTTTGATTCTTTACAACTGAATAACTACCTCAACACAGTCTACCAGTTTTACTACCAACAAATCCGGTGTCATCCATCTGTCTGAAGACAAAAAATAAATATTTTACCGTTTTTATATAGAACACTTTGATACTAGACTGTATCAAAGTATTATGATTATCTTCAGCTTTGATCTTGATCCTGTTATGAAATGACTTACAATTGACCTTGAAAAAGCAGGTATACTTATTACTTATTTCGTTGATGGGTACCTACTTTATGACGGTAGACATAAGGTCTTGGCAGATAACTTGATCTGGAACATTGGGCCACAGTCTTGCCTGATCTACCATCGCTCCAACGTCCATGAGGCCGAATCCACATAGATTGTTCACTGAAACAATCCGAAAACTATTCAATGAGACATTCCTCATCCAAGTCACAAGAATGACTTTTTGTTAGCAAAACTGCTGCAACATTTGACAAAAATGAAAGCAAATCAATATTATAGATAATTGTGACACTTTTTGAACTTTTTAACCTGTCTCATACCTTTAAAACCAGCCTTGTTGGTTGTCCACTCGTCACCGCAGAGTCCCTCTGTTCTTGTAGTCCTTGTTATCAAATGTTGGACGTCTCTCCACGTGAGAGATGGGCTACGTGGCAGATACAGTATTATAAACATCTTAGTATCAATTTGAAAACGTTTGAAAGGCAAATACGCAAATACGTTGTTTCCCTGTTGTAAATCTGCATCATCTACCGCTAGGACAGTAAAATGTAAACTTTCTGGTCATTTCTTTACTTAAACAACGAGATAAACCATGGTGTCGCAAGTACATACAATGATTTGTATGATTTGACGCCAAGAGCTATTCGATACTTTACAATTAGACAAGATATGTAAGAAAATGTCAAAGCAGGACATGTTTAAACACTTGATGTCATACAAGAACGAATGTACAGTAGACAAACTATGTAATTATGTTTCCAAATGTTTCAAAAAGAGAGAAGAAAGGGCAACTAACAGTAGATGATAGGTAGTTTATAGTGGTATTGTAATGTATTGATTCCTAGCACTTTGCATTAGAATATAGCGTACCAGTATGACATACTCATGTTTTACATACTGGATATCTTCTTGTGCATTTAGCCCATCTGGGCAAGAACATGCAATAAATATTTATATCATATCATATCATATCATATTATTAAAAAGAACAGAAGTACAGTGCAATAGATCCAGAATTCGCAGCAAAAAGTACATTCCCGAAGCCTTACTTTGCCTCAAGTACCAGAGCCATGGCCCCAGCCGCCAGTGCTGCAGTCGGGGACGTACCAGAAAAGTCTGTCTTACAGCCTGTCGCTTGGCTAGGAACGACCTAAAGATACAATCGCGATCTCACAAAGTTAGTTCCGGTACTTTCGTCAAAGCACGGGGTTATTTCTTCGGATAAAATAAAGGAAAACAAGGTCAAAGTACAGGCACAAGCATAGCACTAAGTAATAGATAAACACAGGAATGTTTTGAGTCAATAACTAATATATGAAGAGTGACTTTAGTATGTATGTACAAGGGTACTCAGGATTTGAGCTATAGTATTACTAATAGTATACTATAAATACACAGCTGTACTGGATGAAAACTGCTGACAAAGAGGCATATACTCACGAATGAAGAGCTAGTGTCAGTGAAGTCATTCCCGTAAGCCGCCGCCATGATAGCGGTGCACGGCTCGTTGTAGACCGCGGACTCTCCGGCCGGCCATACGGAGTTGATCCCGATGGTGTAGATGGAGTTGATGTAGCCGTCGTAAGCGCAGCTGTCTCCAAATGCACCGCCGTTACCACCGGAGAAAATGTAGATTGACCCTTTCCCTCCACGACCCTAGATGAGTTAATAATAAAGGGTTCATGCCCCGACCTGAGGTATATATGGTGAGATAATCCCTCATTTCACTCGGTGGTTTCTTCGGTGGTTTAATATCGCACCCGACCAGGGATTATCTCACCATATACACCGAGGATAAGGCGGGGCATTAACGTTATTATCATATAGCTTATCGTTATTAGACCCAAATTTCTTTATAAAACTCCTCCATTGCCAAAAAAAAATCGTGAAAAAACTATGTTACGAAAAAAACTATGTCACGTGAAACAAGATGGTGTGGCCAAAAATCAGATCATCTATAGCCTTTACTAGGTAATCATCTGAGCTGACCACGTGACATTGAAACAGTACCACAGTTATTGGGGGTGTCAAAAATTGTGTTTTATATTTTTCTGTTCAAATTTCAGTTTTACCTTTTCAATTGTGCTGTATTTTAAAAGCAAATATTATAAATGAATTAAAATATGTTTTTAAAAGATAAACACTACTGCTATTGTCCTGTCCCCTGTATAATGGTACGGTCCAAAAAAAAAGGCGGTTATCTGAATAACCATGGGTTTTGGCCTGATAACCAATGGGAAATGGGGCCTTCTGATTGGTCGACGGCTGCTGGCTATATCATAATTTCTTATCATCGATGTGTTTTCTTGACACTGTAATAAAAAATGCATCATCACTAACCTAATTAAGGTGGGTAATCAACATAATTCGTGCTTACTGTGTGTACTCCATTCCGTAAGGCCCGTTGAAGTAACGGCTCCGGTCCGTCTAACACGAACTGGTAATCAGAAGGTCCCCAGCTGTTGGAGTAGATGGCGATCTCCTGTGACTTGTGAGTGAGAGCTGCAGCTTCATCCGCATCCAATATGTCACTTACCCCTCCAGACAGTAGCCGCAGTCCTGTACAGATGCATATATGAAGTCTGAATAACATATTTGTCACACGAGTCTGACTGGTAATAAGGTAGATATGGTCACATTTGCATTTTACAAGATACAAGATACCAGATCTCTTTATTGGAAATCGCAGTGTTGCCACTGAGTTAAACCTATTTACAATTCAAAATTAGGAATCATTAAAAGCTGTTACAAATATGGACAAGTTATGATCAGACATTACAAGAATAGACAAGTTACTGTCCGTGCTGGTTTTAGTTACAAGTCTCGTCATGTACGGCACACAAGAGTTCAAGTATCGCTTCGTTCTATTTTTCGGACAGTTTAATTTGTGGTTGTTGCGTGTTTTTTTTAATGTTGAAATAAAAAATATTGCTTTCAGGCCTATAAACTGAATAAATTCGTAGCAAAAACCTTTGCCTAACTAACGTAACACACATCATGTAAACAATGTTACGTACCTGCTATCTGTGCTCTATAAGCCACACCGACACCACAGAAGCTGTTGTTGGCAGCTGCAGCGATCACGCCCGCACACTGAGTCCCGTGCCTGGTGATGTTAGAAGAACACACACACACATGATACATACATGTATCTTCTATAAGTATGACATAGTTGCATATAACCAACTTGCCCATGTCTAACTGACTGCAAGTTTGTTGTGCAAGGTAAGTAAGGTGTCTAGAATAATGAACTCCTTACACGTAACACCGTGCCCTAGCAGAATGAAAAGTCCGAGAACGTTGAAAAGTGCCACAAAGTTAACATCTGACATGATTGTACGTAGTTGACTACAGATTCTGTAAATTTTCATTCGGGACAGAGTTGGGAGGAATTCCGCAGTCTGTATCTGTATGTTGGCCAGCTTTCGGGGCTGGGTCAGGGCTAGTTCGGCAAAAGGTTTTAAAATGGTTAGGATATGGTCGGGCCAAAACGTATTTATTGCTTACTCGTGACTCTGCTGAGGTGGAGTTGGATCTTGTCTGTCACGGAGGAAGTCGTACGACAAACTGATATCCTGAAAACACATCGGTTTTAGAACAAAGTAGTATGATTATTGATTAAAACTACTCTCTATGAATTCATTACAGTAACTGTAAAATGTAGGTCGATAATTTTTTATTTAAAAAATAGACATAACAGCATGAACAAAGATTAAATCTATTCGCCAAAAGTAATCAGTTACTCAAGCAACTGGATATGATTTTGAAAACGTCAGACGTTTCAGCTAGCCTGGGTTCCATCCTGGTTAGTTTACGTCCGCTCCTACAGTCGCTACCACCGATGGAACCCAGGCTACGTTTCAGCTAGTATCCACTAGCTTTCGTCAGTAACTGTGAGACCAGAGGAGAATTGCAGGTTTATAACTTTGAATAACTAATTTTTGGCGTATCGTATTACGTGGATGTCTAACCTTCATCGACTAAATCTATTCGCATAAATTTTCAGATCGGAATAAGGAATATAACCAAGACTTACCACTCTGCTCTGTAAGTCTGGATGGGAGACTATGACACCATCGTCCACCACACCCACCGTCACACCTTCCCCTGCACATGCCGTGTTCCACGCGGGTAGGACGTTCATGTTCACCTTCCCAGTGTACTATAGGAGTTTTATTTTAGTCAACAAAAAGAAAGAACAAAAGCTGAACCATCCAACTTAACAACATAAGTGAAATCAAATTTAGTAATATAAATATAAATATTATATGACAAAATATAATTTAAACACAAAACCCGCCCCATTTGCCGAGATGCTTATCCAATTTGTTTTTACTTGTAGCAATATACAACTCAACTTTGTTAAAAAGGATATATAATTTAGAAAGGACTGAAAATTCAATTTTTTTTTACTTTCTACTATGGAATATGAAATATTTTGCTAATAATATGATAAAGTTTTGGATTACAGGGGTACCAGGGAGAAGGTTTCCGAAAATGATATTAAAATCGTTCAAGAGAATATCTTGACCGGTTTTTTGAAGATACCAAATTTTAGGAGTATAGGTAAATATTCCAAAAAACAGTTACTCAAGCAACTGGATATGATTTTGAAAACGTCAGACGTTTCAGCTAGTATCCACTAGCTTTCGTCAGTGACTGAGAGACCAGAGGGGAAAACAGGTTTATATACACAACCTGTTGATTGATATGCAAATATGATTATTTGC